TCTCCACTCTCAGGCATGGTCTCATTGGGCACGGTTATGAAGATTCTCTCTGTTTCTAGCTTGTGGAGAGAGCCCTTGGCTATAGTGTTACGTCACCCTCATGATGAGAGTGGACTCTGCTGTGATCTTGATTTAGAGCTTCAAAGGTTTTTGTAGCTCCTTTGGAAAAGCATTAGCTCTCAGATATGAGTTAGCGGAAGTGCATCCTAGGGAAAAAACAAAAACAAAAACTTCCCTGCCTCCTCCACCCACACTCCCTACCCTGGCTTTCTTGTTCCGTTCTGAGTCTCGGCTGGAATAGATTTTCATCTCTAGTAGAAGTTTCTTTATCCCAGGCACCAAGCTCCTTAGAAAACAGAGATGCTACTGGCTAAATAGCCTTAGGCTTAAAACTTTCTTTAAAACTAAACTTACTCTCTCTTGTTGACCTTACTCTAGCTTGGAATGGACCTTCCTGGTTGCAACCTAGGCATGATCCATGCAAGAATTGATGGCTAGCAAACTACCAAGGCCTTTATTTTCTTAATTCTTCCTCTTCTTTCTCCTCTTCCCCTTCTCCTTTTTCTCTTTCTTCTTCTCTCTTCTTTAGTGCTCCCCGCTCCATGTTATTACTTTTATTCTCTTTCTTTTCATTTTTACAGTCACAGAAACTGAAGCTCATGGACTTGTATGTAGATGTTATGTAGCTGACTCAGGATTTGAACCTTGACCTTCTTACTCCAAATCCAGTGCTTTTTCTGTTAAACTAATGCTTAGGCCCCCAAGCAACCCTCTGGGCTAATGAAGTTGCTGGAATCTCTTGGAGGGCAATGGCATCAGGGTAATCTATGCTTCAGGTCCATAGTTTATGGGAAGATTTTCTCCATGGCTAAGGCTGGAATGGAGAAAACAGGGACACAGAATTTGGACCAACACATGCGTAACATTTACATGTCATTTGCACATGCCTACATCTGCTCAAGCCATTTTTTCTTGAGCAGTTTTCAAGTTAAGATGTTATTATTGTCACCCTTGTTTGTCATTTCTTGATTTCCTTAGTCTCTCTTTCACACCCACCCACACCACTGGCCTAGATCATCCATGTGGTAAGAGACGTGTGTACATACGGTTGAAATATGAACTTGAGAGAGCTCAATTCTTCTTTTTAAAAGAAATGTTACATTGATGCTTAGAAAAAGTATTGCAGTCACTTTCTAATGAGAGCTCAATTCCTATACAATCCTTCTGTGGAAGAAAGAAGTACAATTAAGCAAGACTAATCAATATCCTTGCCCTGTCTAAACACTGTAATGCCTCAGTGTTCATTTATAGTCTGCCCCAATCTGGCAAGAGGAGGAAGGTATGTTTTGCCTTCCATCTTTTAAAGTCAAGAATGAAGACCAAGTCATCTTTCCTCAACTTGTCTCCTTTAAAATGGCAGCTCTTGAAAGGTAGGGTGAAGTAGATTCTTATTCTGTATGGTAATCAGAAAGGGTAGGTGGCTTAATGAATCAAACCATTTGTGATACCCAGGGGTTACAGATATGTACAATAAATACTCAGGGCAATCAGTCCTGGTACCTGAGACCTTTTTCTTTTTTTAAAGAGTATAATTTTTTGTTGTTCTTTATTTTTAAGTCATTTCAATGCCCCCTGGCCAGACTGATCCCTCTCTTGTGATGAAGCAAAGCAATTAAGCAAAATAATTTGACAATGTACCCAATATTCAATCCCAGTAGTCTTTTTTTCCTCTTCTGTGAGAGGAGGAGGGATGTTTCATTATTTGATGTTTCATAATCTGGGCCTTCACTGACTTTTCAATTGCTCATCTTTTAGTTTTTTTTTGAGTAATCTTTTCACATGTATTGTTGTAGTGTCCTGGTTTTGCTGACTTCACCTTGCATCAGTCCACACAAATCTTCCCATGGTTTTTGAATTCTTTTTATGCATATTTTCTTATAGTACAATAATATTCCATTATATCCACATAGCAAATTTTTCTGGCCATCCCCTAATTGATGGAAACCTAGTTTGTTTTGAATTCTTTGCTATCAGTGTGTTACTATCAATATTTTGGTATATCTCGGGCCTTTATTTTATTTTATTTTTTTGCCTTTTTTTTGGTGAGGCAATCGGGGTTAAGTGACTTGCCTAGGTCACACAGTTAGTGTCATGTGTCTCGGACTGGATTTGAACTCACATTCTCCTGACTCCAAGGCCAGAACTCTATCCACTGCGCCATCTAGCTGCCCCATGGGCCTTTATTCTTTATCAGTTTTTATCTTTATTCACTTTTTACTCTTTTGGGGATATGTACCTACTAATGGATTGCTGGGGCAAAGGAGAAACTTATTTTTCATAGTCTCATCCATTTACAATGAGAGAGCTGAATTACACATTGATTATTCAAATAAAAAAACACTAATTAAAACCTATTGGATGTAAGGCTCCCTCCTGAATTAATGCCTTGTTGCGATGGAGGGGTCTGCACAGGCTCAGTAAAGCTATGAGCTATGCCATGCAGCGTTACTCAAGATGGACGGATCATAGTGGAGAGTTTTGACAAACAGTGATCCACTGGAGAAGGAAATGGCAAACCACTCCAATATCTTTGCCAAGAAAACCCCATGGACCATATTAAAATGCTAAAAGATATGACATTGGAATGGTATGCTGTCATCCACAGGGTTGTGAAGAATCAGACACAACTGAATGACTGAACAACAATAACAGTATGTAAGGCATGGTATAAATCTGTTATTCAAAGTGTTCATAGAACTCAGAGCTCTAAGACCCCTGAGAGATTGTCTAATCCAAAATACTGCTTTGGTAGAAGAGGAAATTGAGGTCCAGTTAAAAAGAGTGAATTGGAGGAGGGAGTAGAAGTGATCTGGACTGATGCTTTCATCAGGATGAGGAACTGCTCTTGTGAAAACTTTCTCCACCCTTTGAAGTTTACTACTGTCTGAAACATTTAGTCTTTGAGAAATGCCTGAGGGAACTTAGAAGTTAAGTAATTTATCTGTACATAGTTACACAGCTAATGGGCAGCTTATGTGGTGCCATAGCGCATAGAGCACTGGGCTTGAAATCAGGAAGACAGACTCTTCTTGAGTTCAAATCTGGCCTCAGACTAGCTGTGTGACCCTGGGCAAGTCACTTAACTCTGCCTCAGTTTCCTCATCTGTAAAATGAACTGGAGAAGGAAATGGCAAGCCACTCCATTATCTCTGCCAAGAAAACCCCAAATGGGGTCTGGAAAAGTTGGACATGACTGAACAACAATCACACAGCTCATGTGTCAGGGGTAGGATTTGAGCCAAGGTCTTCTGGACTCTGTCTGGTCATGTATTCACTATATCATGCAGCCTTTCTGTGTGTCAATTTTTGTTTCTGTTTTGTTTTTGTTTTTTGTTTTTTTTTAGGCAATTGGGGTTAAGTGACTTGCCCAGGGTCACACAGCTAGTGTCAAGTGTTTGATCTGAGGCCAGATTTAAACTCAGGTTCTCCTGATTTCAGGGCCAGTGCTCTATCCACTGCGCCACCTACCTGCCCCTCAATGTGTCAATTTTTGAAAACTTTCCTACAGATCCATTTCTTTGATCCTCACAACGACCCTGTGAGTGAGACAAGCAAAGGCTAAGATCAATACCCTCATATGATAGATAAGGAAAAGGACTCTGAGAGTTTAAGTGACTTGGCCATGGTTACATAACTGTCAGAAGAGGGATTCCAAGCCAGGTCTTCCCTGATCCCAAGCCCAAAGTTCTTTCCACTTTCCCAAAGTACATACCACTACTTGAGTATATGAAAGTAGGCTATGAATCCCAGTGTATGGAAAATCAGGGCAATGATATTTTGGTTCCTGGACCTGCTAGCTGGACCAAGAAGCTGGAACAACTCAGGGAGAAGTGCCACAGGTAAAAGCAATCTGCCCAACTGGTGCTTAAAAGAAAGAAAGAAGGGTGGTTCATAAACATACACTCACCCTTAAGCATTCTGGTATCACCTTATTATACCTTAAGCATCCTGGTATTACTTTATTATCCGCCATTGTTTTTTCCCACGAACACCACCACCACCTAGTTCTATTTGTCCTTTAGCGACCTTCTTCTTCTTGTCCCCTTCGAGGCTTTCCTTGATGCTCATAAAGTAAAGTAAACTTTACTCATTGCTAAGACTGAGGGAAGTGCGATGGTCTAAGAACTGCTTGGTGTCTAGGATTGGCCTACCAGAGCAGTCAGGGTTCGACCTACAGTAAAGTGGGAGTGCATGGTGCCATTGAGGCAGGGTATCGTATTGATCTTGGTGTCGGGCTGAGGATCCAGTTATGGTCCAGTCATACGTGATCCTGGACAAGTAATTTGTAACAAGCCTCCATTTTCTCTCTGAAAAATGAGGATGATAAATGGCAGGACCTGATGTACAGAGAGGCAAATGAACTTGCCCAACATCTTATAGTTGTTAACAGCTTTTTGTTGTTGTTCAGCTGTTTCAGTTGTATCTAACTTTCTGTGATTACTTTTGGGGTTTTCTTGGCTAAGATACTGGAGTAGTTTTGCCATCTCCTTCTCCAGTTCATTTTACAGATGAGGAAACTGAGGTAAACTGGGTGAAGTGACGTGCCCAGGGTTACACAGCTAGTAAGTGTCTGCAGCTGGATTTGAACCCAGGTTTTTCTTATTCCAGGCTTGGCACTCTATCTACTTCATCAGAAGGCTTCTTGCTTTGTTATTCTCATTGCCATGGCAGGTGGGATTGACTTCCTGTAGAAAAACAGAATCATAGAATTATAGAGTCTTGGAGTTGGAAAAAATTTAGAGATCATTTAGTCCAATTCCTTCACTTTACAGAAGAAGAAACTAGGCTCTGAAAGAGACACTGATATGCCCAAGGTCACACTGATGGTAGGTAGATTACCCAAGGCTCAAATTCAGGCCCTTTGATTTCAAACCCAGGGCTTTTCCCATTAAATCACGATCACTGGAGCAGGATGGGACATTGCCCTAGGAAAGAATATTCTAGCTTTTCTCTTGAGTCTTTCCCTGGAGCTTCTTCCTCAAGGCTGTCTTCACCTCCTTATTTCTTAGGCTATAGATCAGAGGGTTGAGCATGGGGATCACAGTGGTATAGAAGACAGACACAACCTTATTCTGGTCTGAGGATTTACTGGAGCTTGGCTGAGCGTACATGAAGATAATGGTGCCATAGGAAAGAGAGATGGCAGTGTGGTGGGAGGCACAAGTGGAGAATGCCTTCCTTTGGGCCTCCAGGGAGTGAGTGCATCCTGCAGATGGTGACCAGGATGTAGGTGTAGGAGACCAGGATTATAGAAACGGTGATGAGTGTGATGGCGGCAGAAGATAAGAAGAGGATAGCCTTTGCAGCAGCCGTGTCACCACAGGCAAGATGGAGCACTGCAGGGACATCACAGAAGTAGTGGTCTATGATGTTGGGGACACAGTAGGGCATCCTGAAGACATTCTCCGTCTGTGCCGCTGTGTTGGCTGCGCCTATAGCATAGGTCCCGGCCACCAGCTCCATGCACAAGCGTTGGGACATGATGGCATGGTAGAGCAGAGGGTGGCAGATGGCCGCAAACTGGTCATAGGCCATGATGGCGAGGAGCAGACATTCTGCTGTTCCATGGACAGACATCATTGCCATCTGAGCCACACAGCCAGCAAAGGAGATGGACCTGTCACTGGTGAGGAAGATGATCAGCAACCTAGGGGTGTTTATAGTAGAGGAAGAGAAGTCAAGAAAGGAGAGGACGCTCAGGGAGAAGTACAAGGGCGTGTGGAGCTGAGGGTTGGTGCGGATCAGGATGACCATGCCCAAATTACCCAGTACAGTCACTGAGTAGACCAGCAAGAAGATTACAAAGAGGACTCCTTTCAGCTCCTTTCTCTCTGTCAGTCCCAGTAGGAGGAACCAGGTGACCATGCTGTGATTCCCTTCGATAGCCCCCACTGCTTCTGTGTTTTTGCTGCAAAGATAATGTGGGAGACCAAAGAAGAAGTGGGCTTTTCTCAGTACCAGCCAAGGCCTGAAGCTTTCTGATACCCTCAGAATGCAGGGATTGCACCCTCCTCCTCCCTCTTCCCAAGTGACCCACTGGATAGAGTATTAGAGTCAGAAAGAGCTGACTTCAAACCCTGTCTCAGGAAGCTGTGTGCCCCTAGGAAAGTTACCTAACCTGTCAACCTCAGTTTCCTTATCATATAAAATAGGGATAATAAAAGCACCTATCTCACAGGGTTACAGTGAGGATAACATATGTAAAATGCTATGTAAATGCTAATTCATTGTTATTATTTCCTTTAGAATCACCTTGATAAAGCAAGGAATGCTGGGGGCTTTGGTGAGGGGTGGGATGGGGAGGCTGGCCTCTGGAGGCCATGAAAGAAAGACCTTTCGGGGGCAAATGATTGAAGACCATTAATATAACTTGGCCTAAGGCCTGCTGGAATGTTGGAAATTAGGCCACAGACAGGCAAAATACTGGAACTGTGTGATTCTCTGGGTTGTTGAAGCTGCTGCCGTCAGGTACTAGATGGGGGATGTTGCTGGGCTATTCTTTAGCAGCTTGGCCAAACTCTGAGGACCTGAAATAACCACCCAGCATTAATGAGGCTGAATCCCCAGCCAGAGGGCTACCAAGCCTGACAACACATTCTGGGGGTTCCTTTAGTCCTGATAGTAGCTGGAAGGACAAGCTAAATCCCTAAGTCTAACCAGTCAGACTTCCCTTAAGGCAGCACTGGGTGGGAGTAGCCAGTAGTCTGATATTTGGCCCTCCCCACCAAGATTGTAGACCACAGATAATAGACTTGGAGGTGGAATGGACCTTGGAGTCATCTTGTACAATCCATCATTAAAAAAATCCTTCTTTTGTTTTACACCAGTTTCATTTGCAGATAAATCCATTCTACCCTAACTAGCGCACCGTCCCTTGTAATAAAAAATAAATAAACAAGAGAAGAAGAAAACAAAAGAAAGCACTTTTATAAAACTAGTTAACACATTAAGTCTTGCAGTATATGCAGCATTCCACATGGAACCACCTCCCTCTCCAATGAAAGGAGGAAAGAAAGTGCTTTTTTTTTCTTTTCTTTTCTCTTGTTTGGCCAATTCTTATTTTACAGCAAGGAAATTGATGACAGAGAAGGTAAGTGACAGCCCATGATTGCCTAACCAGCAAATGGCCAGGATTTGAACCCAAATCCTCTGGCTGCAAAGTCAGCTCTCTTTCTAACAACATGCAGCACTAGGACAAAGGAGTTGTGCCACCTCGGAGAGATTTGTAACTGTCCACTATTGATCAGTCATTTAACATTTATTAATTGCCCACTGTATGCCACAAACTGTGTTAAACTCTAGGAGCCTTAAGCTTTTCTCATAGTAATGTATATGACTTGACATCTTAAGATAAATAGCTGCAGACCATGGAGAGAAGAATATTCTTAGCATTAAAATATTTGCATTTATAAAATGGCATGTTAAAAAGCATTCCTCCCTGCATCCTTCTGCATAGTGCATTCTGGGTTGCTGCCCATCAGGCCCACCTGTCTTTATTTCCTAGGCATAAAGGTCAGCTGGGTTGCACTGGTCCTTTGTTAATGATGAAAAAACAAAAACCAGGTCTCTAGTACCCTACATGGCAGGCACCTGTCAGGCGTTCTCTCCCTGGCTCTGACTCTTGCTTACTCATCATTGCTTTTGTCCTTTTCTTACACACACCACAGGATTTGATTTCCATTGCAGCCTATACGTCAATTATTGGCCATGCTTTCCTCCAGATCTGTACAGGGAGCTCCACCTCATCATTTACCTTGAGAAAATTGAGAGGGTTTTAGGAGTTAAAGTAGGTAAAAGATATTAATGCATGCTAAGTGGAGCCCCAGGGTCCCATGCCTCACCCACCTAAAAAAAAAAACAATCAAAAAGAAAAGAAAACCCAAACTCCAACATAATACTCACCAAATATCCCTTCCTGAAGTAATGGGTGGTGAGAATAATGGTCCAGTCATGCTCAGGAACTTTTGTAGCTTCTCACTTGGTGCCTCCAGCCTTGGGCTCCTAAGCCTTTAAGGGATTACTTAGACAGTAATTGCATGTATGGGTTGAATATTATCAAGTGACTTTGCAGGCCCAGGGAAGGGAGAGTCATGAAAACAGAGGAAATGTGAAAATTTTAAAACCTTTGAGAATGTTTGAAGGGCGTCTTTTAGAATAGCCTTTTGAATGTCTAAGGTACAGACAAGTTACTCTCTTTAATTGTGTGTATGTATGGGAGGTGGAGGGGGCAGATAGGTGTCAACTGGTAGATTGGCTAGAAGAGTAGACTTGAAGTCTGGATAGAGTTGACTGTGTTAACCCTGGGCAAATCACTTAACCTCTCAGCCTTAGTCTTCTCATCTTTAAAATGGGAATGATTTTAAAGGTACCCACCTCCCAGAGTTCTTGTGAGAATCTAATGAGATAACATATGTATAGTATCACTTCTCAAAACTCATGTTGTTGTTCAGTCATGTCTGACTCTTGGTGCCTTTCTTGGCAAAGTTACTGGAGTGATTTGCCATTTCCTTGGTTTCCAGCTTAGTTTTACAGATGAGGAAACTGAGGCAAACAGGGTTAAGTAACTTGCCCAGGGTCACGCTATTAGTAAGTGTCTGATAGATTTGAACTTGGGTCCAGCACTCTACCCATTGGGCCACCTAGCTGCCAAACATAAAGCATTAGATAAATGCTAGCATTCATTATTTTCTAGGGCTCAAGGGGAAACTCCATTCTTTAATGTACTCTGTCCTTGTTTACCCTTTGTGTATAGATCTAGTGGTTAGATGCTCTTCTTGGGTATTTTAATGAGTTCTTTTTTTGATAAAAAAAAAAAAGCAGAATTGGGTGGAAGAGCATGTCATGAGCTTTCACTCAGTAACCACATCTAAGGGAAGCCCTGCTGTTTGTACCACAGGCTTCCAGCCGCCAGAGAACTCCTCACAACAACTCTGAACCAGACATTTTGCCTAGGAGGAAATAGCCTTCAGAGAGACCTGACCTTAAATACTCAACTTCATAAGTAACAGAGAACATCACACTCGTTCTCTTCCATTAAATCTAATCAAATCCAGCCAAGTCCAGTCTATTTCACTCCAATCCAGTCACATCCAATTAGACTCAATTTACTAAATGAATTCAGCAATGTTTTTTAAGGGGTTTCTAAGTCTCTTGATTGTAAAATGAAAACCTTTTCTCTTTCTTAGCTATTTCTTTACTCTGTGGTTTTGTAATCATTAAAAAGCCATCCTTTCATTGTTTAAGCAGTTACTCATTATCTGCAACCTCTGTTTATTTTAATTTCCTCAACTGTAAAATGGAGATGATAACAACATCTGGAGCAGCTAGGTGGCACAGTGGATACTCAGAGTGCAGGACCTGGAGTCGGGAAGACCTGAGTTCAAATTTGACCTCAGACACTTACTAGCTATGGGACCCTGGGCAAGTCACTTAACCCTGTTTGCTTCACTTTCCTGTTCTGTAAAATGAACTGGAAAGGGACATGACAAACCACTGCAGTAATTTTGGCAAGAAAACCCCAGAAGGGAACAGGAAGCATTGGACATGACTGAAAATAACTAAACAACAGCAGCAACTCCTGCCACCCAGCATTGTTGTGAAGCTCAAATGAGACAATATCTGTGAAGCACTTAGCGTAGTGCCTGGCACATAGTAGGTGCTTAATAAATGATTGTTTTCTCCTTTCCACCTCCTATCTCTCACAACTGACTTACCACTTTCCCTCAAGTTGGCAGGGTCATAGAGAAGGAAGAGGAAACAAGGGGTGATTGAGTGTCCATAAGATTGGGTTTGAATCCTCATTAGACTGACCTGGAAGATGAGAGACCATATCTCCTCGAGTGTGACTCACTGAGGCCTCTCTAGGAATTCTTGCCTCCCTGGGGCACTGGCTATCTCCATCACTGTCTGTCTGGTTCTAGTTCCATCCGGAGATGACCTGAGATTGGTGTTGTAAAGTATGAGGATTCCTTCTCCCTGAGATAATCCTTCTCCTAGTATTTATCAGGGTTGGTTTTTTTTTTTTTTTTTTGCATCCCTGGGGTTTACTGTATGGGAGGAGTGGTTGGTTTATCTCTGCCTCTAGAGGAACTGGGAGATGACACCATGTGGCTCTAGATTGGCCCAATGGGAAGATATCTTGCTTAGTGAGTTACATCTTAGAAATCTTGAGTTTAAGGAATTTGCTACCAAGGGCTCCTGTCCCAGGGTGGATTCTTCTTTTTTTTAGCATGTCATTCCCTAGGGTACTTCCACTTTTGGTTTAATGAGTTTTGGGAGCTCTAGAATGAGACTTACATAGCAGCATGGAACAGAGAACTTGTAGAATTCCCTTGTTTCATGGATGTCAGAGCACTTTTCATTTATTACTATAACTAGATATTACTATTTATCACCATAAAGTTACTAGTGATCAACTCTATGTTACTGTGTAACATAAAAAGAATTATAACATGAGTTTTTAACTTGGGTCCCATGAACTTGGTTTTAAAAAAATATTTATTTTAATAACTATTTCAATTTAATTGGTTCCTTTGTATTCCTATGTATTTTATTTCCTACATTTAAAATATTATTTTGAGAAGGAGCCCATGGGACTGTTAAAGGGGTTGAAGTCAAGTTCTGTGTGGGCAAGAAAAAGGAAATGGTCCCTTGGTCTTTGCAGGTAATTCTGAACACTGAGAGGCCCCTTGGGGAGATAATTAGGGGAAGCAAAAGCCTTGTTAGGAAAATGACTTGTTTGTTTGAAAGAAATTTATTTCTATGTCTGGATGTACTTTCCCTTGGGGTAACTCCCATGTGATACCTGCTAGGAACTTGGAGATGATTAACTGACTCAGGATCAACATATCTGAACCCCGTGCTGG